CGTTAGCCCGGCGGTGCTGGAGGACGGGCTTCCCTGTTCCCGCGCCCCAGCACCCCGCGGCTGCCGGGTCCCGAGCGCCGAGCGGCCCTGGGACGCTGCGGAGGTCAGGCGGGGGGCATGCGGGGCCTTTCTTTTTGTTCTGAGCTTTGTCACCCGCGTCGGCCTCTAAAGTCAAAAGCGTGCGGCGCAACCAAAGTCCTCCTAGTTGCAGTTGTGCGGCGAGGCTGGCACGGGGGAATCTCCCGTGGCTTTTCCTCCGTCCAGCCCACGTGCTCTTGGGCCCTCCGGTGCCCACGTTGCTGCGGTCAGTCGAACCAGGTGACCCCGAGCTTGGCGCTGGCTTGGGGCACGCTGCCCGAGCTGGTTCTCAGGGATGCTCCGGATCCCCCAGGGAGCCCCAGTGGGGAGCAGCCGCAGGGAGCAACTTTTACCCTGCTGTGCCAACAGTCATCCAGGTTTTAATATTCGATTTAGTATTTAAATGTTTTAAAGTATCGCAGAATTAGAAAGCAAATTTGAGCGGAATTTAGGAGCCAACCCGTGCCATTTGTGGAGTGTCATGATGTGCTAGCCATTTTCGGATGTGTCAAGGTCTGCAAAACCAAACTTATGTGACTTTCACGATTGAGATTTCCTTTGTCTGATTTGGGGTCTGCAGGCCCTGCAATGATGCAGATATTAAGAAGCATTCCTAGTGATAGATTATTAAAATATTCAAAAGTTTAATGAAATACTTAGTAGCACTAGCATAAACTCTGATTGGCTCAAATTTAGGTGGTTTAGTATTTCAGCTCTCCCCCCCCACCTCAGGGAAATGGGGGTGGGGATGGTACTGGGAAGCAGTACAATCCCGTGAGGCAGTCCTTGTGGGTCGTTTAAGGCCTTCTAGATTCGTCTAAGCTTATTACAAAAAATTAGCTAAGCTCCTGATGTTGGCTGGAAGAATCCCCTCCCTTTTTTTGTCGGTCGTGGGGCCTGAACTCTGGACCTGGGCGCTGTCCCCCAGCTCTTCAGTTCAAGGCTAGCGCTCAACCACTTGAGCCACAGCGCCACTTTGGACTTTTTCTGCTTATATGGTGCTGAGGAATCGAACCCAGGGCCTCATGCATGCAAGGCAAGCACTGTACCACTGAGCCACCTTCCCAGCCCAATTTTCCTTTATTAATACATAAAAACCAGTAACTTGGTAAGATTTACACTGTTATTAAGACAAATAATTACTTTTGCTCATGGGGCTTGAACTCTGTGAGCTTTTTGTGCAAGGCTAGTGCCCCATCACTTGAGCCACAGCTCCACTTCCAGCTTTTTTGGTGAGTCTCAAGGACTTTCCTGTCTGGCTTTGCATTTTGGTCTTCAGATGTCAGAGTTGCTGGAATTACAGGTGTCAGCCACTGTCTCCTGGCTAGACATTTACATTTAAGGTGTTACTGGACAAAGGAAAGTGATTTTTTAGATATAAAGAAGAGAAGAAAAAAGATTCCTAAGACCTAGTTTGTCATTCTGTTGGAGAGGTTATCACAATTTTCATATTTAAAACAAGGTTGGAGTTGGAAAATGTGGCTTAGCAGTAAAGCGCCTGCTTAGCGAGCATGAGGCCCTGAGATCAAAGTACCAACAAAGCAAAATTATTTTTGCACAAATGGAAAGAAATGAAAGTTCTGAGGAAGGGGAGGGAATCAAGTTGCTATGACCTGGCCATTAGATGCTAAGGGTGCATCTGTTTTCTAACTCATGGTTGCAGTTCTGGGTAATGATGGGAGGAAAGATTTTGCATTTCCTTCTTCCCCTATAAACATGCCAGACTCAGTGGTACCTGCATATCATTGTGTTCATGTGGCCAACTTTCCTTGCCATGAGGGGCTACGATATTGTCCTGTGAAAGTATTAGCTGCTTTCTGTCTCAGAGGCCACAGAGGCAGAAGGGGATAATGCGTGTGTGCCAAGGCTCTTTGAGCAGGTCCTGCAGAACACTGTTAGTAAAAGAGAGTTCCAAGCCAGCCTGGCCTGGACAGACCAACCCTGATTCTTCAGGGGTTCTCAGAGTCCTAAAGTGGCAAGGCAAGAGAAGGAAAAACAAGAGGTCTGTGTCTTTGGCTATAATTCTACTGCATTATTACTTTATTTTGAAGATAAGTTGCCATGTGAAAAGAAGCATTTCCTTTAATACCTAACATAAGCGATAAAACCCATAATTTTATTAAAAACAACTTTTTTGGAAAAATAAAACTTGAAAGCATTTTTAATAAACATCTATGAAGATGTTTATTAATCTTAGTCTTAGAAAAATTGTGGGTGATATTTTACTTGACTTCCAAAAGTGTTCTTAAAGATCTTGATTATTTTGTTTTCTAGACTTTGCAAATTACTAATGATACTAGGTTCAAAGAAAGACTTGGGCAGCCGTTTCCTAGATTTCTAGAGAGCCCTTCTTTGTGCTTCACACAAATTTCTCCCTTTCTCAGATTTTTACATCTTCATCCTATTCTTCTTTAAAACACTAATAGTTGTATTAATAGAACTTCACAGTAAGATTTAGAATATTAACTAGTGCATGACTAAAAATATGTTATAAATATAATAGAATTATGGTGATTTGTATTCTAATTTGCTATGGTTTCCATAATTTTTAAATTATTTTCATTAGTTAAAGCTAGCAATCTTTTGTGCTTGTTGCTTATTTACAGATAAACCATATACATATGGTAATTATGGTTATATTGTATCTGAATGCCCAATTTACATAAGGTAAAAATGTTTTTTAGGAATGAATTCATTGTTAGTGGGAGTAGAGTTAAAACTATATGTTTTCACCTTGAGAATTTTTGCTATTCTTTGTCAGGTCTGATGACATCATGGTTTCTACTTTGTGCTTTGGCTAATTGCAAAGCTGACTCAGTATTAAGATATGCTTTGCCAGCTGTGGTTGTGTGCTATCTTATTAGTATAACTTAAATTTGTGCTTCTTATATGACTCTTAAATGCTTCCTGTTTTTTGTAAGGTTTAGCTTATTCATCCATTATACCACTAAGCATGTGCCAACTAGATTAGATGTATTTTGTGGTAGGTAAAGGAAAGGGAAATGAGTTACACTTTCCAACCTCTTCCCCATCTCACACCAAACCCTTGTGAGAGGATAGGGAGGATTCAGTGTCACTTTCCACTTGTATCAGTAGTGTTAGTATGTTATCATAGCACAATATAACTAATATAATACCAAATATTTCATAATTTTAATGGATTATGTTATACTAAACATTTGGTTTCTACCCTCTATCCTCTTTTTGCTTTTTTTTTTTTTTGGCTAATTCTGGGACTTGAACTCTGGGTCTGGGTGCTGGCCCTGAGCTCCTATTTTGCTCAAGACTAGCAGTCTACCCCTTGAGCCACAGAGCCAATCCCAGCATTTTCTGTGATTCATTGGAGATAAGAGTCTTACTGACTTTCTTGCACAGGCTGGCTTCAAACTGGAATTCTCAGATCTCAGCTTTCTGAGTAGCTAGGATTTATAGGCATGAGCCACTAGTGTCTGGCCTCTTTTTGCCGTGTGTGTGTGTGTGTGTGTGTGTGTGTGTGTGTGTGTGTGTGTGTGTGTGTGAGTGATTACTGGGGCTTTAAGTGTGTGTGTGTATGTGTGTGATTACTGGGGCTTTAAGTGTGTGTGTGTGTGTATGTGTGTGTTGTCCCTTAGCTTGTTTGTTCAAGGCTAGTGCTTTACCACTGGAGGCACACTCCATTTCTGGCTTTTTGTTGTTGTTGTTTTGTTGTTGTTGTTTGGTTAACTGGAGATAATAGTGTTGTAGTCTTTCTTGCCCAGGATGGCTCTGAGCCTTGAGTCTTAGCTCTCAGCCTTTTGAGCCACCAGGTCCTGGCTAGTTTCAATCCTCTTTTGGGATAAATATAAATGTAAATTTTAGGTTTTTCTTCTCCAATATGACGGAAGTATCTTCTGCATACCTGGGATGCAAACACTCTGTGCTCTATAGCTGGTCTCATACTTCATCCTCAACTTAATTCTTTCAGCCAAGTGCCAGTGGTTCACCTAGCTACTTAGGCTGAGATCTGACGATCCTGGTTCAAAGCCATTGTGGGCATGAAAGTCTGTGAGACTTTTATCTCCAATTATCCACAGAAAGTGAAGCTGTAGTAGAGTGCTATCTTGAGCAAAAAAAGTCCAAGGACAGTGCACAAGCCTTGAGTTCATTTTTGCCCTGTCTGGTTTAAGACTGTGATCCTCCTTCTTCTACCTCCTCTGAATAGCTGAAATTATAGGCATATATCATTATGCCTGACTAAAATTGCAAGTTTATATCTTTCTTACATTTTAATTTTTGTCATTATTGTTTGGCTTTTTTTTTAAATTAGGAAGATGCTTATTTAGAGAAAATATGATTAAATAAACAATGAAAATATTCCTTCTCTTCCCTTCTATATATATTCCTACTTGCACCTTATATAATCTGTAACTATCTTTCCTTCATCATGTTTTCTATGCATTTTCCATGTATAGAAAAATATGTTCAGCCGGGCGCTGGTGGCTCACGCCTGTAATCCTAGCTACTCAGGAGGCTGAGATCTGAGGATCGAGGTTCAAAGCCAGCCCGGGCAGGAGAGACCGTGAGACTCCTATCTCCAATAAACCACCAGAAAACCGGAAGTGGCGCTGTAGCTCAAGTGGTAGAGCACTCGCCTTGAACTGAAGAGCTGAGGGACAGCGCCTAGGCCCAGAGTTCAAGCCCCACGACCGACAAAAAAAAAAGAAAGAAAAATATGTTCATATATTGGGTGCATTTAAAAATTGTTTTTCAGCAAAAATAAAAATCATACCCTGTTATTTTGTATAATTTTTTCACTCCACAGTTTGTATTATGTTATCTATTGCTCCATCACCAAATGTCTCACCTTGCGAATCTGTGGGCTTCTCGGTTCAGCTGGGTGATTCCTCTCCACATGATGTTGGGACTATTGGTTTTAGTGGATTCAGTTTGGTGGGATGAGAGTTAAAGATGTTTCATTGGTTACTCTCAGTTTAAAAAAAATACTGCAAGAGGGACATAATTTAAACACAGTAATGATCAATTGATTTAGAAAAACAATTCTGAACTGTAATACTCTGTTTTTAGTGTGAGCAGAACTGGAGGTTCCTGATGAAAGAGTTTACTCCTTCTTTTCCCTGTTCCCTCTGTATTAGGGAGAGTCCAACTGAAGGCTGCTCTAAAGAAAAGTAGTTAGCTTTGCCCAGGGGAAAAGAGCTTTAAACTAGCAAGTTATTTTAAATGGAGTTCATTTAGTGGATCCTTCATTTGGCAGAGAAACCTGTTTCTTTTCAGAAACAGTTGTAGCACAGACAATTGTATGTCAGGTTTAAAAAATGTTTGCTACTAAGCAAATGAAGCAATGGGAGCCAATAGTGGAATAAACCTATAAAGCCAGGAAAGGGCTAGGAAAATGAACAAAAATTAAATCTCTAAATAGTAAGAACATGTACATATCTTTCCAGAGGTAACACATTTTCTCTGCCATGCTTCTGTGCTTAAAAATAAATGAATGTGCCAGGCACTGACTACTCAGGAGGCTGAGATCTGAGGATTGCAGTTTGAAGCCAGCCCAGGCAGAAAAGTCCTGGTGAGACTCTTACCTCCAATTAACCACTCAAAAACTGCAAGTGGGAGCTGTGGCTCAAAGTGATAGAGTACTAGCCTTGAGCAAGAGAGTTCAGGGAGTGCCCAGGCCCTGAGTTCAAGCCCTACTACTTCAAAAAAGAAAAAAAGGTGTCCAGAACCAAATGCATTAGTGTGCCTTGTCCAGCAGGGTAAGCTAGAGCAAATGGAGTAGGCCTCAAGCCTTTATCCATAAGGCCTGTTCTGGCTTTGGCACACTAGTGACTGATGGTATCCTGAGATGCTAATCTGTTAAGTCTTTTTTCGGACAGGAAATTTATATATCTAACAAATTCCAAGGCAAAACTGATGCGACTAACCACACTTTGGGAACCATTGAACTGTGGCTGAGGTCAGCTAGCTACCCTTTTCCAGATATTTTAGGTTTTAGTTGTTACAGCTACTCAAGTCTGCAGCCCAATAGCTATAAATAATATAGGGTTAGCCCCTATCTTGTGGTTCTACTGCTGTAGACTCAACTAACTTCTGAATTGCAACTAGAAAGAAAAAATTGATACCAGGAGCTGGTAACTCACACCTGCTTAGGAGGCTGAGATCTGAGGATTGCAATTCAAAGCCAACCCCAGCAGGAAAATTAGTAAGACTCTTATCTCCAATTAACCACCAGAAAACTGGAAATAGTGGTACGGTTCAAAGTGGTATAGTGCTAGCCTTGAGCAAAAAGAGGTTAGGGGCAGCTCCCAGGCCCCTAGTTCAAGCCCCACATTGGAAACAAATTGCTTCTTTTCTAAACATGTGAAGTCTTCTTGTTAAGTTGTTGTCAGGTACTAATCTATACAGCATAACAGGTATTTCCATAATATTAGATATTGTCAACAGTCTAATGATTATTTCAAGTATAATATTTGCATAGGTTATATTCAGATGTAATATCATTTTAAATAAGTGGTTTGAAAGCACTTAGATTTTGTTATACAAATGGGGTCTTGGAATAAGGGACAGCTATGTAAGTAAATGGGTATGGTCTTGTTCCTCTAAAACTTTTTTTTTAAGAATTAAAATTTTTAGAATTAGATGCTTTTTATATATTTTTTTTGCATTAAGCTTTGAAACTGAGAACACTGTACCTGCTAAGAAGATACTTTGCTGCTGAGCCTCTTGGACTTTTATGCCCAGGTTGGTCTGGAACCAACCTAGATTCTCTTGATGTCCCATGTAGCTAGAATTACAGATGTGAGCTACTGGTGTCGTTGATTATTTATTTTTTGTCGGTTTTGGGGCTTGAACTCTTGGGCACTTTCCCTGCACTCTTCAGCATAAGATGAGTGCTCCACCACTTGAGCCACAGCACCACTTCCAGTTTTCTAGTGGAAAGGCTTATTGGAAATAAGAGTCTTAATGACTTTCCTGCCTGGGCTGCCTTTGAACCTCGATCCTCAGATCTCAGCTTCCTGAATAACTAGGATTATAGGCGAGAACGACTAGCTTTTTTTTTCTTTAAACACAGAGTCTTCTTATGAAGTATAGGCTGCCTTGAACCCATGATCCTCCAGTATGCTAGAATTATTGACGCGCATTACCATGCCAAACTTCAAGTCTTCTTCTGATGTACTTTTCACATATCTTTGAACTTTCTTCAACTAGTAAAAAAAAATGTAACAACTAACTCATAGCTTATGGGTAACTAGCAAAATTTGGGCTGCAGTCTGGGGCTCTTGAATTAAAAGGAAAAATCTGTAAGTTTTTGCCAAGATTAGGGGGTAGGGCTGTCTTTAGAAAATTCTAAATACTGGATAAACAAGATGGAATTTAGGCTCTTCTATTAGTTTTCATTTATCTTCATACTCTCTTTTTGGTGTTTCTCCACCTAATAGAGAACATTCTTGTTTATTGTATATTTATTATTTATACAAAGTCTCACCCTGTGGCTCAGGCTGGCCTTGAATTGGTAATTCTCCTTCCTGAGTGCTGGGATACTAAGCATACATAATCATGTATGACTGCATTTTTTTCCACTTTAAAAAGTATCTTTAGTTGTACAAAAGGTTTTGATTTTATTTTACTTTTTTATTTTATGCCTATCATGGACTTGAACTCAGGACTGGGCACTGTTCCTGAGCTACTTTGCTCAAGTGTAACACTCTACCACTTGAACCACAGCTCCACTTTGTGCTTTTTTGATAGTTAATTGGAGATAAGAATCTCATGTACTTTCTTGCGCAGACTGGCTTTGAACCACGATTCTCAGATCACAGCCTCCTGAGTAACTATGATTACATGCTCGTAAAGTTTTTACAAACTATCATCTGACTCAATTGGGGAAAATGTGTTAATAACTGGGGTTTGAGGAATTGAGAGAGGAGTGACTGTATACTTCCTAGTACATTTGTAAGTCAGTTTGACAGGTGACTATGGACTTTATCGCTTAATCTTCATGGCTCAGAGGAGGAGGTCAACAAACATTCTAAAATGGGCAGATAGTAAATATTTAAACCTTATAATCCTATGCATTGGTCTGTTTTAACTGTTCTCTAGCAAGCTAGAAAGCATCTCTAAGAGATACTGTAGAAGGCATGGGTCAGTAAAACTTCTATTTATAAAAAATGCACAATATGGTCCATGCTGACCTTCAACAAGATAGAACATGTTTGAACTGTCAAAAAAAAAATGTGACCAAGCCCTTGCTGTGTACGATGTGATGGGGTGTGTTGGCTCATTGCAGCGACTTTTGAACTTTCTGCAGAGCACTCAGCTCTTTGATGTAGGTGGAGCTCTTCCTGTTGAGAGTGGACAGATAATGTGGTCGCCTCACCATTTAGAGAAGCTGGGTTGTTTCTGCGTTGTGGACCTTGGCTTTCCAAGTTCATCTAGTTTGATGATGGTTCTTATATATTTAGCTATGTGATCAAAAGTGATGAATAAAAGTACTTAACAAGCTCAAGGGGCTGATGTATTTAACATATTGTCTATTTTCATATGTCCCTGCCCCCCAATTGCTGGGAATCTAATCCAGATCCTTCTACACACTAAACACATACTAAACACTCTGCCACTGACCTATATACCCTTCAAACACATTTGTGTCTCCTAAGAGTTTTTTCTTAAAGCAAACAATGCTCAGTTTTGTAAAAGGATCTAATGCCTGTAGATAGGAATCTGCAGTTTTCTGATGACGTAGTACAAACACAAATCTCTAACCGTCACTTTTGAGGAGCCTGTGGTTTCATAGATTCAGCTTCAGTCTGAAGTCTCAGTATTTGCCTTTCTTCCTCGTGGTTGCTCTTGCCTGTCACCCCTGTTCCACATCAGGAACCTGGGGTACCCTTGACTTTGCTGTGTGTCCAGCCTGGCACTGGGTCACAGTAAGAGGCTCACTCAGCTCTTCTCTTCCAGGTTGTGTGTAGGACACCCACTGCTCTATATGGTGATCATCTGTGTTGCTTTTGTGGATGGCAGTTGCAGGAGGTAAGGTGGAGAAAAGATTGGATCTAGAAGTAATCTGATCTTCCTCTTTCCAACTGTAGTAATAACAGTAGCATCAACATTTACAGTTAATACAAGTCAGATGTTGTCCAAGCACTTCTAGCAACTAGATTCATTTAATTCTTCTTGTAACCATGAGGGGGGTCAGTGAGGCCAGGGTAGACCTGGTTATCCTGAACTGCCTGATTCTAGCACTATAACCTCACTCTTGGGAGTGTTCAGTGAACTTTTTAATGTCAGGCCTAAGAAAAGAGAATGTTAGTGTTCATCAGAGGCTTCTCTTTAAGCTGAGTCTGTTTCCTGTATTTAGGCTTCAGGCACACCTACCTGCTAGAATATAAAAGATCTTGCAAGCATCCACCTGAAAAATATATTGTTAGGGAATTTAGTAAATGAGAGAAGTAGCTTCTCAAAGAACTAGGTAAAAATGAGTTAGCCATAAGGCGTGGCTAGCTGCTAAGAGAGGAAAAGTATTGTTTTTCCTTTTCCTTGTTCCTTATTACAAAAAGGAATTAACAATAAATGAACTTTTTTTTGTTGTGCTAGAGACAAACTCTAGGCCCTCATGCTTAAGTGTCACTTAGCTAAGCCACGCTGCTACTCCTGGACAAATAATTTAAAATAATATGAAACCAGATACAGTTGGCCTTTCTTATCTCCAGGCTCTGCAACTTGGAATTCAACAAGCTATAATAATATTTGAAAGGTAGTCTTTCTGCAGTGAGATGTGTGACTTCACCAGAAGAGAAGAATAAAAATGCTTTATAGCCTCAAGTACGTTCTGATCAGATCTTGATTTGGGCTCCCATCTGGTGTCATTGCTGGAAGTTTCTGAAAGTCTCTTTGGGCTTTTTGTATTGTGAATAAATGACTGTACATGTAGGTATAGTCTCTTATTCAGTGTTGTGTTAGTATGTTCATGGCATATTGCTGGAAACGTCTTGAAAACCAAAAGAACCCTGACTTTCCCTAGTAGGAGATAGTTTAATTAAATCCTGATACAGTGATGCTTTCTTCAGCCTTTTAACAAAATGGAGCAAACTATAATATGCTTCCAGGAAAAGGGCAGTAAGATGTGTTAGGAGATGGACATTTGGATTGAAAGTAAGTATTTCAGCTTGTGTATGCATCAGAAAACCATCTAAAGTGACATCTGAGAACGTTGAGAATGGTGTCTATACGTTGAATCACTTATGGAGAGTATAAAGCCATTGAATTAGGTATGCAAGGATGGGGCGGGTTCTGCTGTTTTAAGATATGCGAGGTGTACTTGTGGTTTGTTGATACTGGCACTGGACTTAGACATAAGAAAATACTCTTCTTGTTGGGAGTGGTCCTTTTATACTTTGAAGGGAGAGAAGTAGTTTTATAGTTTATTGTGTATGGTACTCCCATTTGTATTGTGTGTGTGTGTGTGTGTGTGTGTGTGTGTACTGTGTATGGTACTCCCATTTGTATTGTGTGTGTGTGTGTGTGTGTGTGTGAAGTTGGTTGCTACTGCTCAGACCTGTAATCGTAGCTACTCAGTAGGCTGAGATTTGAGGATTGTGGTTAGAAGCTCCCCTGGCAGTTAAGTCCAATAGACTCTTATCTCCAATTAACCACAAAAAGCCGGAAGTGGAACTAAGCAAGTGGTAGAGCATTAACTTTGAGCACAAAAGCTCAAGGACAGTGCCAAGGCCCAGTACCAGCAAAAAATAAATAAAATAAAACTTTAAGAGAGTGAGGAAAAAAAAACTTAACCTGTGATTCAAATCAGATATGATAGGGCAATGGAATCATTTTTAGGAGACAGGTAGAACTTTCTAGAATTTTAGTTTTTTTTTAAACATTCCTCTAGAATATACAGTGTTTGTTGACATAAGCAATAACTGAATTAAAGGTGCTTTTTTTTGGTCTTTCCCCTTGAGACCAGAGCTGCAGATTTGAGGTCATAAGTGGGCAGTGTACCCAGGCATCTAGCCATGGTCATGCAGTGGCTTTGTTGTGCATGTTTTTATTTACCCCAGGTCCTTTGCTAGCAGCTAACAGAAGGAAGCTGCCTTTGATGGCAGGTTAACCTTTACTATGAGAATCTGAATATGCTCTTACCGGTGAATCTTGACCTCTTCTCTTCTTCCTCTACCTCCTCCACCTTCCTCTTCACTTTCCTCTTATATCCTCCTTTCCATCATCTTCTACCTTCTGTCCATCCTCTTTCCTCTCTTCCTTTCCTTCCTCTTTTCCATCCTCCTACCTTTTTCTCTTTTCTCCCTTTCCCTTTTTTCCTTTCCTTTAATTTTCTGTACTCCTCCCAGCTCTGATAAGATTTTTTAAAATCTGTTCCAGTCAACTTCCCTTTTTCTTGGTGACTGGTGCTCCAATTCAGCCATATCTGGTTTTGGGTCAAAGTCTGGGATTTTGATCGCCCCTGACTTCTAGCTGTCTCCCTGTGCTCCCTGTGCACTTCTTGCTCTCAGTGGGAGACAGTTCTTGTTAACATCACTATGGAGCACATCACCCTACAGTTGCACAAACACAGCCCAGAAGGTCAGAAATGCATGTGCAAGGAGCCAGGGGGTCATTTCCATTCTGAATCCTGAAATGGAACTGGACCTCTACCCTCCTGCCCCTTCCTCTTTAGCCCAGTTGCACACCTCCCATTCCCGTCCCTCTCACCCTGTGAAAGGAGATACTTATGTCACCTAGGCCTCATCTGAGCGATGAGACTGGGGGTGACCTACGGCCTAGGTTTCCTGCGATTTTGTCAATTGGTTAAAAAAAACCTTATAAACAAATGAAAACCCTCACTTGTTAGGAATCATATAAAGCCCTCTCTGGGCAGTTCTCAAAAAGGGATCCTTTCAACATGATATGGAAACACTTAATGTTAGGTATATTAGGTAGGTAGGTTTCATTAGGTAGCCAGTGAAGAGAGAGAGCACCACGCACTATTCAGGCAGGAAAAGAAGTTTATTTACCGAACTGCTGCCCCTGCATGGTGCAGCAGTGCATGGTGGAGAGGCAAGGCTGAAAAAAGAGAGGTGGGTCACCTGGGCCAGGACTTATCTAGGCCAGGGACAGGAAGAGGTGTAGCCAGGTGGGGGAAAGGTGTGGCCACACTGGATCTGGACATACCTCAGGGTCTGGGACCCTCCTAAGGTCAAATGGGAGACACGTGACCAGAGGAGGCCCTAACCACCCCTGGAGGAGGAGGTGACTGCTTTCAGTGTGCCAGTTACGTAGGTAACACAGATAATGATGGAAACTTAGCCAAGAGGTAGGGAGGTGTCTGCACAGGGCCTGCAGGCCCATGCAGACCTTATACTTAATATTTGCTATTGTTTACAAAAATGATTAATCCTCAGACATTTCCTGTTGGTGTATAGTATAATTATGCCCCAAACTGGGAACCTGAAGCATAAGATAAATGGTTCCTAGCCTGAGGTCTCATGCTGGATGGTGAGCCTGTGCTGGGAAGTCTGCTACCACTCCCAGCCACAGACCTGTGACATGGCCACGATCCATGCTTTCTCATGTGTCAAGGAGAGCTTGAATCTGTGCTTCCTCATGGGCTACCCTCCTGTGGGTGGTGAGGATGGATGTCGCCTGCTTTGGGAATGACAGTACTAGTTTGGAAGCTTCTTTCTTGTTTTTTATTTATTTCATTTTTTTATTTTTGTTGGTTGTGGGGCCTGAACTCTTGGCCTGGGCTAGCCTTCAGCTCTTCAGCGAAAGGCTAGCACTCTACCACTTGAGCCACAGTGCTACTTCCAGCTTTCTGCTATTGTGGTGCTGAGGAATTGAACCCAGGGTCTCATGCATGCAAAGCAATCTACCACTGAGCCATCTTCCTGTCTCCTCTTGGTTTTTTTTTTTTTATTTGGCAGATTCTCAGCTTTGATTTTGAGATGATGGGATTGGGAAACGGGCGTCGCAGCATGAAGTCTCCGCCCCTTGTCCTGGCTGCCCTGGTGGCTTGTGTTGTCATCTTGGGCTTCAACTACTGGATTGCAAGCTCCCGGAGCATGGAACTACAGGTATCTTGTTCGTTTTGTGTGTGTGGATGCCATCCAGTGTTTAACATTTCTGGGTGCCCTAGGAACTTGCTCTGTGTTGTCTCCTAAATCATTGGGCCCAGAGCAAATACTGTAGTGGGAGTTTAGTTCAATCCAGTGCTGCCTCCTCTGTGTGAGACTGTTGAGGATTGCTACTGAAACCAACATCTCTGCTTCTCACTTGAGTGTTTGGAGGTGGTAAGATGGCTCACAGAGATATGTTGGACATGCCCATTCTCAATTCTGTACTTTACAGGTGACACAGTACGTTGGGATGATGATTATAAGGAAGTATGTTTTTAAAGATGTCAGTCTTTATCATCATCACTTAATGACAATAATGATTTTAGCTTTCTCACATACTGTGGTCAACTTTGGCTAAAGTTTTTTTGTTTTTGTTTTTGTTTTTTTTGCCAGACTTGGGCATCTTTGAAACCTGTGATCTAGTAAAGCTTAATTCCCCAGTCTCCATGTCTAGGTCCTTGGCCTGCCTACAACAAGCACCTTACCCGTTTAGTTGACATCTTCCATCATTGACAGTCTTCTTGCTAGTCTCCCTGCATTTTGGTGGTGGGTGCAGATAAGTCCTCAGTGTGGGCTTCATTAAGGGATCTTGGTTGGGCCATGTCTGGGGATGTTTGACCTTGGCCCTCACACTGTGGTCTCCTTACAGACCCGAGTCTTAGAGTTGGAAAACAGGGTCCGCAGGGCGGCCGCAGAGAGAGGTGCTGTGGAGTTGAAAAAGAACGAATTCCAGGGAGAGCTAGAGAAGCAGCGAGAACAGCTCGACAAGATCCAGTCTAGCCACAACTTCCAGATGGAGAGTGTCAACAGGGTATACCAGGATGAGAAGGTAAGGCCTGCTGTGTTTCCCTCACCATTCTCTCTTTTGAATGACACTTTCTGCCTGTAGAGTATGTCTGTCGGTTGAGCTTTGGGCATTGCCCTGCATTGAGACCTAAGTTCCTAGTCGGGCCTGTGGAACTTCTGCAGTGGTAATAGTGAGAAATGCAGAAGAACCAAGGTGACCCCAGATTCCTCCTCATGCTGGCATTACCACTGCACTGTTGTGCCAGGTGCTTGTATCTTAAAGATTAAAGTGTTTGTGTCTGAATACTACCAAGAAAGTTGGGCTTTTTCTCCTCTTTTGGATAGGCTTCTTACTATGTGGCTGAGGTGAGCCTCAAACTCACAGCTCCATGCCTTAACCTCCCAAGAAACTAAGATTATAGGTGTGTATCACTATGCTCAATTTATGACTGTTTAATCAAAAGCAAACCACACCAGATCTTACATGGATTGACAAGAGGCCTCTAGCCAGGTGTGGTGGTACACACATGTAATTCCAGCACTGGGGAGGCTGAGGGAGTTTTTATAAAAAACAAGAGAAGCAGGAGGTGTGTGTGTGTGTGTGTGTGTGTGTGTGTGTGGCTTTGTGTGTGTGTGTGTGTGTGTGTGTGGCTTTTTGACAATTGAACTTTATCTTTTTCTGAGGATTGTAAGTGTGTGTGTGTGTGTGTGTGTGTGTGGCTTTTTGTGTGTGTGTGTGTGGCTTTGTGTGTGTGTGTGTGTGTGTGTGTGTGTGTGGCTTTTTGACAATTGAACTTTATCTTTTTCTGAGGATTGTAAGTGTGTGTGTGTGTGTGTGTGTGTGTGTGTGTGTGTGTGTGTGTGTGTGGCTTTCTGACAATTGAACTTTATCTTTTTCTGAGGATTGCATTTTTTTCCCCTGAGATTAAGCTTTTTCACTAAATTATATAGCTGATAAAAAGTGGAACTATCTTCTACTGGATAGTACAACAGAGTTATAGCCATTTATTACTGAGGGTGGTTTATTTTTACTATTGTAAACACCTCTCCCTAAAGAATGTTTGATTTATTGAACGGAGGTTGTATCCCTGTGTCTGTTATCTCAAATGTGGACTTAGTTCCAGCATTTTACTCCACAATGAATTGTTTACAGCTAGGGCCCCAGACTTTCCTTTCCTGTTTTATTGCTTCCTTCCCTCCTCCCTCCATTTTCTCCTTAAGGGTTTTTTAGTTTATTTGTTTCTATTGGTGTTTATTTGTACAAAAGCAGTGGATTTCATTGGGACAGATTATACATATGTCTAATGTACTTTGATCATATTTACCACCCATTATCTGCTACCTCTCCCCCCCCCACTTCCTTACTAAAGTATTCTCTTCCCTTGCAGAATACTTTCCTGTACTCATATCTTCATTGGGGATTGTGCCAGTTTTATTTGTGCTGCTTTATTTTTCTTCACTGGGAAACACTGTTTCTGTTCTTGAAATCCTGTTCAGTTGGAAATAATACGGCACAAGTATGTTCAGGGACAGAATCCCTTAAAACATTCCTTGGGGGAAAATAGTTTATTCTGTCAATTCAAACTAAAACTGTATAAGGATATTATTTGAGGTTTCAGCTATTAAAATTAAGAAGACAATTCAACTAGCTGAGTCAGTGTTCCAAGGAAGGGGAAGTGGAACCCTGTCTATAGGCTTTTGAATAATGAAAAGAAACAGAGGCTATTTGGCTGATAGAAGATAGAGTGAAGAATGGTAAACAATGGTTGTTGGTGGTGTAGCTCAGGGGCAGAGCATTTGTATAGCATGTGCAAGGCCCTGAGTTCAGTTCTTGGGGGTGGAGGGGACAACAAAAGTCAATGTAAAAAGGATGGAAATGTGCACAAAGCAAGAGTGTGGTAACTTTTCTGTTCTTCAATCTGTTTGGGTTGTTCTAGATGCAATGAAAAGGGTGGAGGTGACCAAAATTTCCCTTTGAGGTAGCAGATGGAATTTGCATAGGTTATTCTGTCTCTTTTCTTTTTGTTTTTTTGTTGGTGGCCATAGGGCTTGAACTCAGGGCCTGGTCGCTGTCCCTGAGCTCCTTTGCTCAAGGCTAGTGCTCTACCACTTTAATCTCAGCCTCCTGAGGAACTAGGAGGTATATGCATGAGCCACCAGCACCCACCATTTGTCCTGTTTCTTAATGATCTCCTAGCTCCATTTTGAAAGCCTCTTCGAATGTTGTTTTCATTGTAATTTTTCCTTTTTATTTTCACAGTTCATTTTCTTTTGCCAAAACTCAGTCAGAAATAGCTTCATTTTCAGTATTTGTGTGTGTGTAGTATTCTCTTGAGGTTCATTCCTTGCAGCAGTATATCCACTTTGACATTTATACTTCTCATTTATTTGTTAGGCATGTAAATTAGTACTATAGCAGTGCAAAGAAAATCGTTTGAGAAACACTTCCTTTGTGATGGAAATTGAGTCCCTATAATCATTCCTGAAGGGAAGCAGCTGACTAGAAAGACTCAGAAAAAGAAAAAAGAAAAAGATGTCTGGGTAGAAGATGGAAGAAGTATCCATGTATATTGCTTTATGTTTAGAAGGAGAATTTAAAGACAGGAGGGCAGCAGGGCTAGGGTATAGCCCTGGCAGAGCATGTACTTAGTATGTACAAAGCCCTGCACTTTATCCTTAGCTCCATGAATAAAAAGAATATGGATGCAGTGGGATGAGATGGCCCTTAGGTGGAAGAACCCATATCATTCCTTTCTTTGTCCCTGTTTCTCATTGGGGAGAAGCCCCATGAAGCTCTTTGGGATGTGTAACATGAAAATACCATATTTTCAAAGTGTTTTCCTGTTGTAAATGAGTACCTTCTGGAATGAGAGAGGCCATGATGGCTTGGCTTGAAGGGTCTTGGGCATCATTTGAACCTGGGTTGGGGCTGCTTCCCTCTGGTGCAACACCCATTTGTAAGCTTAGCTTCCTCTGAAGGATTCTGCCTCTTGAAAGGGAAGCCTTATCATTAGTTGTACTTTCAGAGTTCTTGCACACACATAAGCATATTAAATATCTCATTCTCCCCCCCCCTCAAAGATAGTCATAGTTATCTCTTGAGACAGAGAAAGTAGCTGAGTCAGGAGCGGTCTTGGGATGTTCCTAGACTGCAGCATGACCAACTGGGCTGGGCCAGTACTGCCAGATAGCATTCTGTCTTGCTGGCTCCACCACAAAGAGTTTCCATATGGCCAAACACAGTTCCTGGATGGTTCCAGGTTCTCTTTTGGGCATGATTTTTTATGCACCCTACCATGCAACAATGTTCTTCTGGAAGGGAGCCCAAATTGTACCAATTAGAGTAGTTTCTTTTGACTTTTGTTACCTTCTGTCCTATGACTAATTAGGATTAGGGTTCTAGATCAGCTTTTCTGTTTTTACTACCACTGGTTTTTCCTATCTGGTTCAATCCATTTCCTATTGGGTGCTGGAGAAGGATGAGTAGATCTTTTTTTGGGGGGGGGGTCCAGTCGTGGGGCCTGAACTCTGGGCCTGGGCACTGTCCCTCAGCTCTTCAGCTCAAGGCTAG